GAGGCCTTCGAGAGGAATTTAGACAAACCCCCTGGCAGATCTCCTTGGATTCACATTCCTGCTTTGAGCAGGGGGTTGGACTTGATGGCCTTGGGAGCCCCCTTCCAACTTCATGAATCTACGATTCTGTGAAAGAAGAAGAGAGAGAAGGAAGAGAGACGAAACAGAAGAAGAAAAAAGGTAGTAGAAAGAAGAAACAGAAGGAGAAAAAGAAAACAGGGTGCTGGGAAGGAGAAGGTTTAGTGCAGGTTTGGCTTAAACCAGCCGTCTCCAACCTTTTTGGGACCACGGACCGGTTGGGGGGGTTCGGTGCACCATAAACCAGCAGCATCTTCTCCACCCAGGCCATGGATTTAGGGGTGACTGTGTTGGGGCGTCGTGGAGCCCAGCTGGGCCCTGTTCCTGCCCCAGGAACCTTTCTGGTTTGCAGGGGAATCCTCCTCCTCCCCTGGCTCTTTTCCGCCCCACACCAGGGCCTCTTCACCTTGCAAAAGACCTGCCCGGAGAAGGATGTCCCTTCCACATCCCGAGGCCAACGCAGAGGGTGGAAGCTGGAAAAAGGGCTAAAGGAGATCGCTCAGGGGGGCCCCTTCTCTAGAGACACTTTGTGGTGTCCTGCATTTTGAATGGTTCTTTTAAAAATTATTTCAGTTCTTGATTTATGAGCTAATAAAACAAATGACTCAATGAGCAACTAATGAAACATGGGGGGAGGGGTAGGCCCCCCTTCCGGCTGCATCCAGAGACCCTTCTGGGGTCCAAGGGGCACCAGGAGGGGGGAGAGACGGTGCAGAGGTTGTCCCTTTGAAGGGCGGGGGGGGGGTCTGGATACGGCCTCCTCCCCTGAAACTGACCTTCTCCTCCCCCCCAATATCCCCCCCCCAGCTCCTCTTCCCACCCAGGGACATTGCAGGTTCTTCCATCCCCTTCTTCCCAGGCTGGGGGGTCACGGAGGGGCCAAGAGAGGTGGGAGGGAGTTCTTTCCAGCAACCTTCTCCGACCCCCCCAGGTGGACTTAGCTTTACCATGCGGGGCAGGATGGAAATCAAAGGACGGTTCTTCTGTCCCTCCCCCCACTTATTTTTTTACCACCCCCACGAGAGGAAAGAGACCAAGGCCTACCCCGCACTGGGGGAAAATCTCAGTCCCACTCCCCATAGATCCTTTATTCTCCCCCCATTGTTACCTTACTAAGATGCAAGAGAGCTGATACCAAGCCAATATTTATTTTTAAGGAAGTACAGCTGGGCCTTCTACCTTAAAAGCAGAAGAAGGCCCTGAGTAGAGGGTGCATAGTTATTTTATAATGTTTTCACACAAATAGTCATATAAAGCAAAACATTCTTATTTATTATATTTGGACCCCAAACCTGAATCTCCTTTCCCATTGGGTCAAGATGTTCTGTAGGCATAGCTTAGTGGCTCTGCCCAATGCCCATACCATGCCCCCGTGTTCCTTGACGAATGGGTCATGTTATACCTTAAAATCCCCGTATGTCTGAGTAGAGGATGTTCCCTAGCTGTTCCTTGGTGCCTCTTTATCTCTGTGATATGTTTATGTTGCAGTTCTCAGGCTTCGGTGTATGGCCTTCAGAACCCCCAATTTCTCTTAGAGGTGTTGAAGCATCAATAGTTGGTTTCCTCCCTAGAATTCCAATGTGGCCATCTGTTCCCATTTGATATTTACACAACTATGCCCTTGGTGAGAGAAAGAGTTACCTTGTTTATGTCAGTGAGACAAATTGCTTATCTTATTGCAGTTTAATGTTTCCTGCTTGACTGGGACTGAAAGGTCCTTGCAACTTAGTATACTCTGATAAGGAAAATGTTGTGTGAGAGTTTACTTTGCAGTAATAAAGGTCAAGAGCTCTTCAAGAGAGGTCCATTACATTGAGACACAGAGAAATGCAGAATTCTGGGTAATTACAGATACAGAAAAATGAATCTTTACTCCATAGTAAAATAGTAAAATCTGATGAAAAATGAAGCAGGCCAATCTGAAGCCTCTACTAATCCAGGCCTCCAAGAGTGCTCACTACTTCTCCTTCAAAACTGCTGCCACCAACCTATCCTTCAAATCAAAAGGACAAGTGTTTCTTTCAAACAAACAAAATGTTTATTGATTTGTACAAAAATAAATAGGGTGAATCACAGGTATTAAATCAATTAGTCAATCACTGTTTCTCAGACACTAACTCACACAGACTTTTCCCTCACTGACAGGCTCTTTCTCACTCTATGAATCTCTCTCATCTCTCAATCTGATCTAAACTCCTCTCACACGTCACACATATATAATCCAGCTCCTCCCACTTCTGCACCACCCTCCGTCCTCTCATTGGCTGAGGTTCCCCTGCCCAGCTGTGATGGACAGGTGAGAGCAGAGCTGTATGCTACAATAAGGATCTTCAATACGTTGATTATAACATAGAGGAGATATATAATATATATAAATGTATACTGTGTTAGCTGATTTATGGCTGAGGAGTTAATTCAATGTCCAGTGGTGCCTCGATTAGCGAGTGCTTCGATTAGCGATGAAATCGAATAGCTACGACTTTTTTCGGGCATTTTTGCGCTTTGATTAGCGATGGTCCCTATGGGCAATTTTCGACTAGCGATGGTTGGGGACCATGTTTAGAATAGCGATTAAATTTTAGGTCCCCTCTTTCGATTAGCGATGCATTGAACAGGTGAGATGCATTGAATAGGTTTCAATGCATTTCAATGGGGGGAATCGCGTTTCAATTAGCGATGTTTCCTATGGAGATTTTCGCTTACAGACGGCAATCAGTTCCCATTGGAATGGATTATCCAGTTTTCAATGCATTTCAATGGGAAATCGCATTTCGATTAGCGATGAAATCAACTAGCGATGTTTTTTGCAGAACGCATTAACATTGCTAATCGAGGCACCACTGTATTGAGATTTTGTGTTGCATGTTATACATATATATATATTACACTCAATCTCTATCCAGCATATCTATCACCATCCCCGGCCCACCTTCTTCTGGATCCTGAGGGTAGAAAACCCCAAAAAATGTTCCTCCGCTGACCATAGAGAGGGGAGGGAGGGAAAGAGAGGCGACCATCCTCCTTCCGGTTCCGGTGGCGCCTAACCCTCCTTCCCCTGGCGAAGCTTTGAAGCCGGAATGAATGAATGAAAGGGGGCAAAGGGGTGTGGGTGCAAAATTCCGGAAAACAAAAGGAAAAGGGGGAGAAGAAGAGGGTTGGCTTTTATCTTCCTGCAAAAAATGTGGAGTCGAGCCCACCCCCGCTTTCACCTCATGGCTTTCTCTCTCGGGACCTGCGGACAGAGAGAGGGTGGAGGGAGGGGGTTTCAAGAGGATCCCGAGTCAAAACCAAGGGGATCCAGGATTATCCGGGCTTCAGACACATGTTTCGGCGCCCGTGCAGAGCCCTGTGCCTGGGAGACCCCGCCTTCTCTTTGTCTTGTCATCCACGGGCAGAGATGGGACCTTCGAGGATCACCTTGCCCGATCCTTCCACATTTATCGGATTCTATTCCATGAGTCAGTATGGTGGCATCATCCCCCTTCGTATCAGGTATCTTGAAACCCTAATAAATGTGTCTCCTGCGTTCACCCTTTCCAGGAGGTCAAAGGCATCCAGTGGGGTTTCTGCCCTTTTCGGTTTCTATTACAGCCAGTCTATATAGAAGAGTCATCAGCCTTTCAATTGCATCTGACCTTTGTCTGCCTGGCACAAAGACCTCGTGATCTGTCCGGATAGAATCTATTGAACCTTTGGGCCAAAATGAAGGATACTCTCTTTTTTGATCCTGATGACAACCCAGGTACTCTTGGATGAGTCTTGAACTCCGGACGTCCAGTATTCCCGCACTAGCCAGGAGTGCTTTTGCACCCTTAAAATGAGGCCACCAGTGGTGCCTCTTCTTGGTGGGGTCTGGTCTGGCCACGCAGACACATGCCTTAGTCACACCACGGCAGATTGACTGTAAGTGTTGTACCTCCCTCCTCTGAGCATGTTCTGGTGTTACACTCTATGTGGGAACAGCCTCTGGAAAGTGTCCGGAAACTTCAGTGGGTCCAGAAAACAATAAACAAACCAGAAATCCTGTTACTGCTCCATAGGCTGCTCATTCATTTCTGCGCAGAATTCAAAATGTTGTACCTCCCTACATTGAATTGTTTATTTTTTTTTTCCCATGTCTTCCTTTTATTCTTTTTTTGTATTATACTCACAGTTCTCAGCTTTAAATACCATTTTAAGTGGTGTAAGCTACCCTGGGTCCTTTTTAAGAAGAAAGGCAGGACAAAACGTATTTTATACAAAAAAAAAACTTTCTAAAGAATTACGTCTATATTTGGAGGGAAACCCCTCCAGTAGTCAGTTCTGTTAATTGCATCATAAAAAGAGGTATTTCAGGGATTTTGCTTTTAATATTTTTAATAATTTCAGAGAGCAGATAAGTGAAATGGTGGATAACAATCCCGATGATACGAGGGTCCTACTTTATATTGAACAAGGCAACATTTTGTTCTAATCAATTATCTAGACTGTATGATCTCCCCCGACATTGCCCCATTCCCTCCCTCTCTTCCTCCTCTACCTACAACGAACCCCCCCTTCACTTCCCAACCTCCTTTCCCCTCCCCACCAAAAGTAGTGAGGTGACCTAGCCTCTGTCTCCTAAAACTGGGCTGTTCCACGTGGGTTATGCTGGGGAGGCCAAAAGCAATGCTCAGCAGGAAAGGAACCTCCCCACTTTCATGACCTGCCTTGCTGCATAGGGATATAAACGAATAAGCATGTTTGTTATTTCACAACCAGAAAGTCCTGAACCTCAAGACAGTTGAAGGTCTTCCCATGTTCCATGCATTTATGAGGCTTCTCACTTGGTGTGGGTCCTTTGATGGGAATGTAGACGGTCACTCCGGCAGAAACTCTTTCCACATTCCATGCACGTAAAGGGTTTCTCCCCTGTGTGGATCCTTTGGTGTGCACTCTCTGACTGAAGCTCTTCCCACACTCCATGCATTGATAGGGTTTCTCCCCAGTGTGAGTGCTTTGATGTGTATTGAGGTGACCTCTCTGACTGAAGCTCTTCCCACATTCCATGCACTTAAAGGGTTTCTCCCCTGTGTGGATCCTTTGGTGTGCACGTAGACCTCCACTCTGACGGAAGCTCGTCCCACATTCTAGGCATTTAAAGGGTTTCTCCCCCGTGTGAGTCCTTCGATGTAAATTAAAACTACCACTCTGATTGAAGCTCATTCCACATTCCATGCACTTAAATGGTTTCTCCCCTGTATGGATCCTTTGATGTTTTCTATATGATCCATTGTCACTGAAACTCTTTCCACATTCCATGCATTTATATGGTTTCTCCCCAGTGTGGATTCTTTGATGTGTACTCAGGTGGCTTCTGTGACTGAAGCTCTTCCCACATTCCATGCACGTAAAGGGTTTCTCCCCTGTGTGGATCCTTTGGTGTGCACGTAGATCTCCACTCTGACGGAAGCTCGTCCCACATTCTAGGCAATTAAAGGGTTTCTCCCCTGTGTGAATCCTTCGATGTAAGTTAAAATTATCGATCCGATTGAAGCACTTTCCACAATCCATGCACTTAAATGGTTTCTCCCCTGTATGGATTATTTCATGTTTTCTATATGATCCACTGTCGCTGAAACTCTTGCCACATTCATTGCATTTGTATGGTTTCTCGCAGGTGAGGATCCTCTGGTGTAAATTTAAGTGTCCACTCTGATTAAAACTCTTTCCACATTCCATGCCTTTGTATGGTTTCTCCCCTGTTTCGGTCATTTTGATTCAGGGACTTATTTCATGCCCGTTTTTGGTCTTCTTTGATGTGAATTTTTTTTCTATTTCTGACTCAGTTCTTTCGCAATTTTTCTTATCGTTCTGTTTTTTACCTAAAAGAAAAGGAAGAAAGAAATCATATTCCTAGTTCAGAATGAAAATAGAAGACATTGGAGATTATACCCGGTTTCATCATCCCCAACGGTCTTTACTTCCTTCTTTGTAACCCTCGGCTCAACTTGGTGTTTCCTTCAGAATACGATACCCGTTCCCAAGCTAAACTCTTTGATTCTAGGATTGAATCCTAATTCCCTGCAGGATTTCATGGAACTCAAAGACAGTAGAAGCTTGCGGTAAGTGAATCAGCGGATACTTGATCACGTGGATATGGGGGTGCTACTGTACTCTGTTATCTGGTTTAGTCATCTTCTCCCCAGCTGCAAAGGAATTATTAAAGGCTTCTATACAACTCTACATACTATCTGCATACCCAGTTAATCATTCTCACAGTAAATCAGCTAAGGTATGTGGTTGATAATCATTAGATCTTTCAGATGTCAACAACTGTGTTTTACGAGTTTTACATCATAACATGGAGCTTCCCCCCATGTTCAACCCACTGATCTCAGACAGGAGGCTCATGAAGGTTTAATCTGAGCTCAAATGCCATGATCTGCATGGGGGGAAAGAAAGGCTTGAGCAGAATATGCAATGATCCTCTCTTAAATTTAAGATAAAATATTTCCCATAGGTCCCTACCAAGTGCTTATTTTTTGGGGGGATCCATTTCCTCTCCTCTGTGAAAGCCCCACAAGGAGAACTGGACTGAGGCAGACCAGCTACATCAGCTACAAGGGACAGACGAATTGACCGTGGCATTTACCCAAAGGCAGGGGATTTGGGGCCTCCAGTTTCAGGGCTGTTCTCCTGAGGGGAGTGAACAAATTTTGAAAAACAGGCAGCCCTCCCTCCAGGTTAGAGGTACCTGGGTCGTGAAAAAAGGACAGAGCTGGCTGGTTCCCTGAACCCTCCTCCAGCAGCGTCCCTTTCTGCCAAGTGGAGGAAAGCTTTTCCGGTAATCCAAGGAGGTCCCAAATCCCCTTTTCCACCCTTTCCCCAGGAACTGAGGGCAGGACACGTCCCAACGGACTCAAGTGACAGGAAGCCAGATTTCGGTTGAAAATCAGGAAAAAGTTCCTAATGGTTTGAGAAGAACGACAATGGAACCTGCGACCTTACGAGGAGGCGGTGAGCGCTCCAAGCCTGGAGCCATTTGAAGGGGAAATTGGACCACCCTCTGTCCAGCCAGCTTTGGTTTGGATCCCTGCAGTGACCAATGGGTGTGGATGGGATGGCCTCAGAGGCCCCCGTCCAACCTCATTGTTCCAGGATTCTAAGAAACAGAGAGGCAGCCTGCCCTGGATGGATTTTCGCTCTCTCTGAAAATTCAGCTGCGCAGCTGGGCAGTGCTCCAGGGGGAGAGAGAGCTTTTAGCCACAGCTGCCCTTGGGACCTGACCGGACGAACGTGCCTGTGTACAGAGGAAGCCAGAGACCATCTGCCGGCCACAACCCACTGGGTGAGAGGCAGTGGAACTGTGGTTGGGTCCCTGCTGGATGCCAGCTCTTTCTCAAGGGAGCTGGCTCAGCCCACCCTTGTACCTGCAGGGCTAGGCCCTGCTGCTCCCAGCTGCCTCATCCCCTCCCAACACCAGCCACCTGGCCCATGGGGAAAGATAACTTTTAGCTGGAGGTGACCACCAGAGAGAAAGGATTCAGATGCTTGAGGCTAGCCCTCTTTACCCCTCCCCCAGAAGCAAGCTTTATCAGCATGTCTGAAGCTGATCCCTGGAGCAGAGACTGCTGGACTCTCTGTGCTGGTTGTGGAGGCTTTTCTGGCAAAGCTGTGGGGTGAAACCCTGGGTAAATCTCTGGGCGATTGTGAGGGAGAGAGAACTGACCCTACTGGTCCCTGTCTAGCCGGTTGCCATGTCGGATTTCCAAGGGACTGGACCTTATGTTTTTGCTATATACAGTACAGTGGTGCCTCGCATAGCGAGGTTAATCCATTCCGGATTAACCTTCGCTATGCCGAAACATCGCTGAATGGGACAGAAAAGCCCATTGGAACGCATTAAACATGGGCCCAAAACTCACCGGGTCTGGCAGCCATTTTCACGCCCTCGGTAAGCAAGGGCAGGGCGTGAAAACACTGCGAGTGGCCATTTCGGGGCTTCTGGCGGCCATTTTGGAGCTGCCGAACAGCTGATTGTCGGGCTTCGTTTTGCGAAGATCGGTAAGCGAAACGCTTACCGATCTTCGCAAAGCGTTTTTTGCCCATAGGGGCCATCGGTATGCGATCGCATTTGCGATCACTAAGACCTCTTCGCTATACGATTTTGTCATTCTATGGTGCACTCGTTAAGCGAGGCACCACTGTATTAATGTTATTGTAAATGTTTGTTACTAATGTTTATACTTAGTTATTATTTGTTAATTTGCTTTGCTTAATATTTTATAGTGTATTTTTTTTCTTTTTATTCTCCCCCCTTTTCCATCTCTATTATTTTTGTTTTTACCTTTTTGCTTGACATGGAGAGGAGGGCCTACTTCCCCAGCGAGGGTTCTAATATCAGGGTGATTATGGCTAGGCGGAGATATGGCGGTGGTACAGTGCCTACTCGTGTCAGGAGAACAGAGAACAGATGTTTGAAGGCTGTTCACTGTTCTGACATTGTGACCAACTGCCAAAATCGAGGTAGACAGCCCAGCTGGCCCTCTACTCTGAACCTGGTGCTGTTGAACGCCAGGTCTGTATCCAATAAATCCCAGCTTATCCAAGACCTTATTCTGGAGGAGGATGCAGACCTGCCGTGCATAACTGAGACCTGGATGGGTGGGGAAGGAGGGGTTCCTTTAACCCTTTCCTGTCCCCCAGACTATACAGTCCAGCACCAGGGCAGACTGGAGGGGCAGGGGGGAGTTGCCATTGTTTATAGAAAGTCTTTAGAGGTTACAAGGCACTCCTCGGTTGTGAAGCCAGGTTTGGAGGCCCTTCATGTGCGAATTGGGACCAGGGACGGTATTGGGATCTTGCTAGGTTATGGCGCTCTCCGCGACCCAGCCACCTCCGTAGCAGAGCTGGCAGACTTTGTCTCCGTGGCACTGTTGGAGTCCCCGAGACTTCTGGTCCTGGGTGACTTCAACATCCATGCGGAGGTGGAGGTATTCGGTCCAGCTCTTGAGTTCCAGGAAACCATGGCTTTCTTGAACTTGTCCCAACATGTTAACGGTCCCGCACACATGGGCGGCCATATGCTTGACCTGGTATTCTCCACTGAGGATAGTGAGTGTGGTCCGATGGTGGCTGACCTCGTGTCAGTCCCCTTGTCATGGTCGGACCATCAAATGTAACCTTGCAATGGCACTTCCTCCGTGCAGGGACCTATTTTAATGGTCTGTCCTCAAAGGTTACTGGATCCCATGAGATTCCAGGATACCATGGGAGGAATCCCAACGGCACTGTCTGGCGCTCCTGTCGAAGCTGTTGACACAATCACACCCAAACGCCCTCTCAGGAGCAGATCTCAGCCAGGACCCTGGTATACCCAGGATCTACGAGCAATGAAGTGAATAAGGAGATGACTAGGGTGTGTGTGGAGAAGGAAATTGACGGACTACAATAAAATCGCTGTCAGGATCGCAACTAACTGTTACCTGGCCAAGGTAAAGGCTGCTAGAAGATCTTACATCGCTGACCGGATAAGCGATGCTTCTAATCAGCAGGCGGAACTCTTTCGTATGGTTCGCGTTCTATCCGGAATATGTCTGGGTGAAGGGCCTCCCACTAGCATCTCACCTGACCAATTTGCAGCGTTTTTAAAATCAAAAGGGGAGGCCATCTGCCATGACATCCATTAGGCCCATTAGGAAGAAACCAAATGTGGCGATGGACGACACTGGAAATTATAGGCTGTCGCCAACGTTTCTTTCCTCAGCAAGTTGGTCGAGAGGATGGTAGCAGATCAGCTCCAGGCACTCTTGGACGAAACCAATGCTCTGGACCTATTCCAGTCAGGCTTCAGGCCGCGCTATGGTATGGAAACGGCACTGGTCACACTGATGGATGACCTGTTGAGGGAGGCCAATGGGGGCAATATGTCCTTGTTGGTCCTCCTTGACATCTCAGTGGCCTTTGATACCATGGACCATGGTATCCTCCTGGGGAGGCTCTCTGAGTTAGGAATAGGTGGCCTAGTGTTTGCTTGGCTCCGTTCCTTCTTGGAGGACCGTCCCCAGAGAGTACAGCTTGGAGAGAGGGTCTCGACCCCGTGGAGCCTCAATTGTGGTGTCCCACAGGGGTCGATCATCTCTCCAATGCTGTTTAACATCTATATGAGGCCGCTGGGTGGGGTCATCAGGGGGTGCGGAGCTTCGTGTCACCAGTATGCTGACGAAACACAGCTCTACATTTCCTTTTCAGCTACCTCAGTGGAAGCTGTTCCGTCCCTTGACCGCTGCCTGGAGACTGTACTGGAATGGATGCTGTTGAATGGGTTGAGGCTGAACCCGGACAAGACGGAGGTCTTGAGGGTGGGTGGTCCTCCCGTCAGCAGTATAGGTAACTCCCTTTCTTTTGGGGGGGGTGACCCTTGCCGCAAAGAATGAGGTCCGCAGCTTGGGGGTACATCTGGACCGGTGCTTACCATGGAAACCCAGGTGGTGGGTTTCCACGCTCTATGTGGGGCTGCCTTTGAGGCTGATGCGGAAACTTTAGATGGTCCAGAATGCGGCAGCCACGCTACTTAGTGGGGTGAGAAAACACCAACATATCTCCCCCACGCTGGCTGCTCTACACTGGCTGCCCATCCATTTCCGCGTCAACTTCAAAGTGCTAATGATCACTTATAAAGCCCTAAACGGTTTGGGACCTCAATATTTGGCAGATCATCTTCTCCCACCCAGATCTACCCGAATCACCCGTCATC